CTTCACGGTCCCTCCCCAATGCCTCCCACCCCTCCCCAGCCCACCCCCTGACTCTACTAAAAGGGAGGATTTTCTGTTTGTTGGTTGGTTGGTTTTTGAGAGACAAATCAGGTCTCACTATATTGCCCAGACTGTTCCTAAACTCCTGGGTTCAAGTGATCCTTCTGGGGGCTGGGGATATAGCTCAGTTGGTAGAGTGCTTGACTTGTATATACAAAGCCATGGGTTCAATCCCCAGCACCAAAAAAAAAAAAGCGATCCTCCTGCCTCAGCCTCCCAAGTGCTGGAATTATGAGCATGGCACCCCACCAGGCTAGGGATTTTCTTTCTGACATAGGCAGTGACAGGTAGACAACAAGTCAGGAGCCAAGTTGGCCACTGAGTCCCACCGGTCCCTGCCTTTGTCCCCAACCCTACCTGTCATGCAACGTGAGACCCACCTGGCCTTTCATGCTGGAGGAGGGATGCAGGGTTGGGCTGACCTTAGGATTTTCAGGAAATGCTGTGGTTTTCCTAAAACCCATCAGGTCCTTTCTTCCTCTCAAGCCAGGGTCTCCCCACCTGCCAAGGCTGAGACTGTTGAACCCCAGACCCAGCCCTTCCTGCCAGAGGCTGCAGCCTTAGATGCCTCTGGGTGTTCAAAAGTTTCAGGTTTGAATCTAAATTTAGCAGCCCTGCTGCCCTGAAGTTATAAAACAAGTTCTTCCATAGCTCTTACATAAGAAGATTAGGCCTTTAGTCCTCTCTCAACCTCCCACCCCTGGGGAAATACCTGTTTTCCTTAACTATGCTCAAAGCTCCCCCTTGTCTAGGACCCCACCCCTTCTCTGCAAACCCCAAGCCCCAAACACAAACTCCACAATCCCACACTAGTAAATCTAAAGTGGGAGAGAACCTGCTTTTATTTCTTCCCTACCTGGTCTGGCTTCAGTGTGATCCTGCCCAGCCCCAGAGGACTGGACTATATGACCTCTCTGTAGCCCGCAAAGGTAAGTAGATACACTGGTTTTCCTAGGATTATAGAACAGGCTGCTTGTTCACAAAGCCTTCTGGGAGAAAAACTAAAACCACCAAGTTCCTAAGAAACACTGAGTATCCTAAAGGAAATGCCAGCCCAAGAAAATACAAACTTGGAATATAGAAATAGAAAGACAGGGCTGGGGATGTGGCTCAAGCGGTAGCACGCTGGCCTGGCATGCGTGCGGCCCGGGTTCGATCCTCAGCACCACATACCAACAAAGATGTTGTGTCTGCCAAGAACTAAAAAATAAATATTAAGAAAATTCTCTCTCTATCTCTCTCTTTCCTCTCTCACTCTCTCTTTAAAAAAAAAGAAAAAGAAAAAAGAAATAGAAAGACAAAGATTCCCCAAATGTGGTGTGCCTAGGAGTTACCTGGAAGGCTGGGGAGCCCTGCAAATGGTGAGACCTCTGGCCTGAAGATTCCCCATGAATATTTCTGGGGCAGGGAGGGCACTGGAAGTTTTCATAAGCACTTAAAGTAAACCTGGAGCTACAGGCCCATAGAAAATCTGTGATCATACATAATCACAGCAAGAAATTCAAAGTGTAGCTGCTCTAAGCATAGCTCCCTGGGTTGGGGGTTGGTGGGCTGGTTGGTTGGTTTTTGTTGTTTTAATCAATTTGGAACATTTTAATTTATATCCGTCTCTTGGCCATTTTGCACTGCTACAACAGAATGCCAGAGACAGGGTAGTCTGTAATGAATAGAAATTTACTGGCTCACAGTTCTGAAGGCCGGACAGTCTAATATCAAGGTGCCAACGTCTGGCAAGGGTCTTCTTGCTGCATCATCCTATGGCTAAGGGCATCATCACATGGCAGAAGGGCAAAGAGAAAGCAAGAGAGGAAGGAGGATGAGACAGAAAGAGAGAGAGAGAGAGAGAATACAAGGTTTTTTTGCCTTTGAATATATAAAATGATATAGTCCCCTTCCCCAGACCTCTCACAGTAAATGGGCTATGGTCTGTTGTGCTAGCTGTATCTTCATCTCTTTGTTATAGAAGGTTTAGCAAGTTACAATAACTAAATTACACTTGAATTATAATTAGAGAAATTGTTAGTATAAGAATAAACATTTACAACAAATCCACATTCAATAACAGCTGTAACAGAGGGTGTTTATAATCCATTCTTGAATGGAGATCCCTTATGACCTAAACATCTCTTAAAGTCCTTACCTCTTAATACTGTTACAGAAGAAATAAAACGTCAACATGATTTTGGAGGAGATGAACATTCAAACTGTTAGTACAAAATGACCGAGCCAGGTGCAGACTTTATGGACCAGCAAAGCCTTTATTCAGCAGTGGAGCCATGCATGTGGTGGACACACTTTCTTGATGGAAAATGAGCCACTGACCAAAGGAGGAATCTGTGCTTATATAAGCTACACTCCGAGGTGATTTAATTATTGACAGAGTGTATCAGTTTGGGCACTCAGGAAACGGGTTATGAAATTTGAAGTTTGTTTTCACGGGGCAATGTTTTGGGGAAGAATGGAGGGTCTGGGGTCAGCATTCAGTGCTAATCTCTTTCTGTTCAGGGTCCCATTATACTGTCACTGGGAAAGAACTTATTTGGGGAAGAATCAATGCTTTGGCTTCCTCCCAGAGACTGCCATTTTAGTCTTGATGGATATCTCTTTCCCAAGGATTATCTTGTCTCTGGATGATGTTTGCTTCCTTTCCAGGGATTGTCCTGTCACTGGAAGAAGATCAATGTTATCAAGTTGTTGCCTTGTTCCTCACTCCCATTTCCCAGGCCACACTACTTTGGGGTTTGTCCTTTTTCTATATCTTATACAAACTATAGCAATACATCTTCTTCAAGACCCAGCATCTGTGTGCTGTGAAGAGAGACACCTCTACCATGATGCTTCACATCTTGGCTTCCTTCCTGTCCCTCTGACTCAGAATTCACTCATTCAGCCAGTATTCCTCGAAGGTCACTATGTCCCACACAGTGCATCAAGAACTGGGGATAGACTGGGTAGGAACAGGCACTGTTCCTTCCCTTGTGGAGCTTAGAGTCAAGGGAGAAGATAGACTTTGCTCAAATTGCCATACAAATAAATGTGCAATTATGGACTCTGAAAAGTGCTATGAAAGGAAAGCTCTTGAGAATATTCATTCATTTAGGGGCCAAGGATGTGCCTCAGTGGTAGAGCGCTTGCCTGACATGTGTGAGGCCCTGGGTTCAATTCCCAGCATATTCAGTCTAAGCTTGATTATTCACATCCCCAGCCCAATTTTAGTTTTCATTTTGAGACAGAGTCTTGCTGAGTTGCTGAGGCTGACTTTGAACCTGCAATCCTGCTGCCTCAGCTTCCTGAGTCTCTGGGATTATAGGCATGTGTCACCATGCCTGGCAGTGACTCAGGAATTCCCACAAGAGTCCTTCCTCAAGGTTTTTAGTGCTCTCCAGTGGAGCCTGGATGCCAATGAGGATGAGCAAGGTGTCTTCTTCGTCCGTCCTTGCTTTGTACACTGTAATCAGGCTAAGAGCTGAGTAATGCTTCACATGAAGGCTAAGCAAGAGGGGATGGCAGGAGCGTAATATAACCTAGCTTTTGACAGAATCACTCAGAACAATTGGGGGGCTGTTGCTGATGGTAAGTGAGATCTATGTGTTTGGGGTTTTTTTTTTCCTTTGAATATATAAAATGATGTAGTTCCCTTCCCCAGTCCTCTCACATTAAATGAGCTTTATTCTGCTGTGCTAGCTGTATCTTCTGTCTTTGTTATAGAAGTGTAGCAAGTTACATTAACTAAGTTATACTTGAATTATAATTAGAGAAATTGCTAGTGTAAAAATAAACATTGCAACAACCCCATATTTAATAATTGGAACCTTGTTTATAAGCTTCTCTATTTTAAAAACATTTTTCCTAAGGTTGTCATCAGTTGTACCAGGTACTTCTGCTAAGTGGAATTAAAGCATGCATTTTTGTTTCTGGAGTGTCCTTATCTTTCTTATAAATGGATAACTTACATCATTAGTTAGTTAAGCTTTATTTAATTTAATTTATTTATTTACTTATTTATTTTGGTACTGGGGATTGAACTCAGGAGTACTCTCCCATGAACTACATCCCCAGATATTTTTCTTTTTTATTATGAGACAGGGTCTTTCTAAGTTGCTGAGGTTGACTTTGAACTTGTGGTCCACCTCCCTTAGCCTCCTGAGTGGCAGAGATTATAAGTGTGTAACCAGGGAACATCAGAAAGGGACATTATGCCAGTTGTGGGCCTAGATGCTCTTGTAACCCTGAGGCCCTCACATGATAAGTCCCTGCTGCAGAGAGAAGACCAGCTGCCTCCTCAGCACCCTCACCATCTGAGCTATCAGACTTGTAAATGAGGCCATCTAGAAGAGTCCAACCCTGGCCAAGCTCCTAACTGAATCAGCCATGTGCATGACCCCAGCCAACAACATGGAGGACAGAAGAATGACCCAGTTGAGCCACTGCAGGTGGATTGGGATACAGGAGGCTCAATCTAAGGTGAGAATACAATGAAGTGAGGAGAAATAGAACTAATTTAGGAAACAAAATTAGTTGAATTCAAAGATGGAGGTGATGTTTCTAGCTGTGGAACTCCAGGGCTGGTGCAGGCAAACTGAGCTGGAAGCACCAGAGGACATGAGGGTTTAGAGAAGGCTGGTCAGTTTGGGTGTGGTCACTGGTGGTGTCAACCTCCTGCCTTTTCCACCAAGCCCAGCTTGGGAATCACCTCTGGAATCACCACCAGCCTGGCCAAGGAGAGTTATTGACAGGCCAGAAGCCAGCCATGTTGCCAACCATCAGGGTTCCTGCTCTGATGAAAATGTGTACAGATAAGACTCAAATCAGAGGGAGTCTAAGGAAAAGGGATCATAATGTCTGCAGAAAAAAAAAAAAAGAAGGAAATAAAGGCCTGGTTTTTCTGGGTTTTGTTGTTGTTGGTTGTTTGGTTGGTTGGTTGTGGGGGAGGTGTTTGGTTTTGTACCAGGGATTGAATCCAGGGCACTTAAGCTATTGAGCCAATCTGCAGCGCTTTTTTATTTTTTATTTTGACACAGGTTCTCGCTAAGTTGCTTAGGGCCTCACTAAATTGCTGAGGCTGGTTTTGAATTTGCAATCCTCCTGAGTCACTGGGATTACAAGCACGGGCCACCAAGCCAGGCTGATTTTATCTTATTTCTTAACATTGCCAAATATTTGACCAAAATAATCGGAAAAGTCTCATTCCCATTAAGTCTCCTGGCTGCTGAACACCCTGGCTGTCCTTATTTGGGGCTTCCCTGGCCCACTCTTGGTGGCAGGCCCTTACCAGCCAACATATCTGCTGGTTACCTGCCCAGGCAAGTTGTTTCACTGAGGCCCTGAGAGGTTCATTCAGGTGCATTCCCACACACTTACCAACAGGTGGCAGCACTCTCCAAGTCTGTCACCCCAAAACCTGCAAGGCCTCTGAAAAATAAATTGTGGTGTCTGTCTCTCTTACTGCTGAGGAAACCAAGAATGGTGAGGAAATACTTCTACACCTAAGTGCATCTTCGTGCAAAAAGTTAAGATCTGACTCAGTTCCTAATGCATCTCAATCCTTGACCTCTGGAGGCATTTGGCAATATCAGTAGATATTTTTCATTGTCATCAGTTGTGAGTAGTGGGTGGTACTACTGGCATCTGTTGGTTGGTGGCCAGGGATGCTGCTAAATATTCTCCCCAGGACAGTTCCCAACAGCAAAGAAATGTCTAGCCCAAAAGAACAATAGTAATGAGATTGAGAAACACTGATCTAATCACATTCTCAAGTATCAATGGCCACGAAGAGACAGGAGAGGGACTTCCATTGTCTCCTTCACCTTCATCATTTCCCACATTTCCCTCAGACTCAACTCATTCCTGTTTCTGGTGACGCTTCTGAGCAGCATATACAAGGCCCTGTGCTGGACCCTGGAGAGACCACCAGGGACAAAGGTGATAGTCCCTGCCTTCCTTTCCAGAGCTCAGACTTCAGGGAAATGCATTATGCATTTGCAAATGTGTCAAGTGCAATGTGGGGACAAAAAAGAGACTAAGAATGATAATAGAGGGAACCAACTTTAACAACAATGGTGGGGGACTGGAGGTATAGCTCAGTGGTAGAGTGCTTGCCTAGCATGCCTGAGGCCCTGGGCTCAATCCCAGGGCTGAGGAAGTGGGGGGAAGGCAGTGGGAAAGGCCTCTAAAAAGTTGACAATTGAGCCAAAGTCTGAAAATAGAATGGCCTCTTGAAATATAACAAGGGTAATATAACACTAAATGCATTTCTTTAAATAACTCACAGTCTTTTCTCCCCTCCAACTATAATTGTAATTATATTCTTTTGCATAATTAATTGATTTTTAGACCCAGTCCACATATTTCTGTAAGCATTTTAACCATCCTGTATGTATGTATATAGGATGTAATCAAGTTTTTTCTCCAATGTAGTTGTGGAATTTGGTGTTGATCAATAGTACTCAATGTTCATTTCTTTGACCTGAAGGCCTTCTCATGGAGATGGAATGACTGCCACCTCACAATGGGAAGGGACCCTGAGGTCAGGCCATCTCATCAGTGCATGGATTCTGGGACCCTGCCCCATTTACCCATTCAGAATCTCAGGTATGGGCCAGTGAGGAGAGTTTAAAAGAGATGTTTCAAAATTCCTCAACAATCCTCCTTTTGAAAGGGGGATCCTAATTCCTTTCTCCTTGGATGTAGATCAGAGGACCATTGCTTCCAATGGGAGGAAAAAAGTAACAAAAGTAATACAAAGTGACTTCTAAGATATTGGGAAGTGGGCCAGAAAAGATATTGGAATCTTGCACTCTCCTGGATCACTCACCCTGGGAGAAGCCAGTAGCCATGTTGTAAGGACACTCAAGCAGCCGGGAAAAGGCCTGTGTTGGGAGAAACTGGGCCTTCTGCCAATAGTAGGATGATCAGACATTCCCTCGTCTAAAACAGTCCCAGTTTTCACACTAGTCCCATGTCCCACGGCATCTCTAAGTCACGGAAAGCAGAGATGGGTGACTATCCTAACAGCCAGCACCAGCTTGGCAGGCCTGTGAGGGAGCTGCCTCCAGGCCCAACCAACCTTCCTGATGACTGCCACCTGAGGAACAGCATGACCGCACTTCATTCAGCTCCATACTTACAGAAAGCATGTGAGATTGTAAAAGTTGGTTGTTGTTTGAAACCACTACATTTTGGGGTGATTTATTATGCATAAGTAATAAACTCAGGAATCTATATTATGTCATACTTTTGGGTAACGTGGTCCATGAAATCAGCCTCTGTGAACCACAG